GGTCTTGCCAAGTTGCCCAGGCTGGTCTCGAACCTGCGGGCTCAGGTAATCCACTTGCCTCGGCCTCCCAAAGTACTGGGATTACAGGCTGAACCACCAAGCCCGGCTCAGACTAGAGGTTTTTTTTTTTGTTTTTTGTTTTTGAATTGGAGTCTCACTCTGTCATCCAGACTGGAGTGCAGTGACCGCTCCTGGCCACCGCAGGACTGACGATCCTTCCGCCTCAGCCTTCCAAGTAGCTGAAACTACAGGCGCGTGCTACCACGCCTGGCTAATTTTTGATTTATTGTAGAGATGAGGTCTCGCCAAGTTGCCCAGGCAGGTCTCGAACCCATGGACTCAGGCAATCCACTCACTTCAGCCTCCCAGAGGCGCGGGATTACAGGCTGAGCCACTAAGCCCAGCTCAGACTAGAGGTTTTATATCAGCTTTTAACTTTTTCTTTTTGTCCTTTATGGAATGATAGTTGAGTATGGGCTCAGATTGTTATAGCATCAGAACTATTTTTGCTAGCACACCTAGTTACATATTGTTGTTCTTACCGCTCAATCTACCTTTGACTTTGCTTTGTAAAACAAGTGGCAGAAACTGGGAGAATTTTGTGAAAATAATCCAAGTGACATAGTAAAAAATATATTTTCTAAACAGTTTTATATATCTTGAAGGCTGTTTATAAAAAATTGTAAATTCTGAACCTTAGACCTAGAATATATTATGTAAACTAGATTTATCTTCTGGCCAGGTTCCTCCTGGATGAAGAAGGACCAGCCCACCTTTACCCTCCGACAAGTTGGAATAATATGTGAGCGTCTCTTAAAAGATTATGAAGATAAGATTCGGGAGGAGTATGAGCAAATCCTCAATACCAAACTAGCAGGTAGGCTAAGACAGTGACCATACCACTGTTGTTAATAAGGTTCAGTAAGAATTAACCCCAGTTAAGTAACTTAGAAAAGAAAGTAGGGCTTTTTATGCAAGAGGGTTTTTTTTTTTTTTCCCCGAGTTGAAGTCTCACTTTTGCCCAGGCTGGAGTGCAGTGGCATGCTTATGGCCACCACATCCTCAACCTGCTGGGCTCAGGTGATTCTTCCACTTCAGCTTTCCAAATAGCTGGAACTGCAGGCTTGCACCACCATGCCTGGCTAATTTTTTGATTTATTGTAGAGTCGAGGTCTCACCAAGTTGCCCAGGCTGGTCTCAATCCCCTGGGCTCAGGCAGTCCTCTCGCCTCGGCCTCCCAGAGTGCTGGAATTAAAGGTGTGAGCCACCGTGCCCCGCCACAAGAGGGTTTACTGAGTTGTGAATATTGCACTTAGTCTTAGGTAATTGTAAACTTTATATAAAAGGACTTTTCATTTTCATTTCTCAAAGGAGATAAACCAAACTCTTACAAGAACTTTCTGTTGAATAAAGGCTGTTTCTCAAACATTATATTCTTCTGATTAAAGTCCTTACTGTACCCTATCACACTGATGGGATACAGTTCAAGATGTGTTACTTGGAGTGACAATATGATTAATTAAGAAATTTATAAGCAACTTTTTCTTGCTTTGCTGCTGTGTGGTCATCAGAGAGAAGTGAAAAGGCACAATTTCTTCCAGTAGCTACATTGTTCCCTAATCTGATGACCCACACAACATGGTTCCTCGGAATGTTAATAGATCTGCTCATGTTGGAAACTGTTGGATTCAGTAAAGTTAAATAGGTTCCTTTATAGTAAAAAATTCCTTGATCCTTCAATATACAAATATGTTTATAATAAGAAGCTCTAGTATATAATTCCCTCTCCCACTCCCACGCTAATAATTTTTTTGATCAGCTGGCTCTAAATCATTTCTGTTAACAGATGTCAGGCTACCATCTACCTTTCTACTGAGTTTCCCCTTAGAAGGCGGTACTTCTGCAGAACTATCTGCAGTTACATGGTGTAGAATTTTCTCTTAGATTTCTGGCCATCCCACACTTCTTACACATGTTTTTCACTCCGTGTGTGTTGAAATTTATAGCAATCAAAGAACTTCAGAGCTTCATGTCCCATAGGAAATTTGTTGAAATATGCCAGTCTATGCTAGTGAGCATTACCTCTCTATCTTGGGAGGTTATTAGTAGGGAAAGGAGTTATATGAGGGGGAGAAGTCATTAGGAAAATGTTACTATACTGTAGATGATCAGTAACCAAATCTAGAAGCCAGGGATTTGGCCCTGGGTTCTAAGAAGAAAGATTAGATCTGAGTGACCTTTATAAAGAGAGCCTGAGAAGGTGGAGAATTGAAACTGGAAAGCTATGTGATCCTGACACTTAATTCTTGAAAAATTGAGGAAGAGTTTCTGAGGATAAGTATATTATTTTTGTCCTCACAGAACAATATGAATCTTTTGTGAAATTCACACATGATCAGATTATGCGACGGTATGGAACAAGGCCAACAAGCTGTAAGTATTGCCAAGTTTTTCTTTGAATTTTCCAAGTTCCAGAAGCAAGATTTCTACACTCCATATCTTCTCTCAGAGAGCAAAAAGGCCTTGTGAAGTAAAATAATAGCTAAGATTATGTATGTGCCTAGCACTGTGCTAAGCCCTTTAAATCCTCACCGAAGCTTATATAATCCTCATTTAACCCTATGAGGACTATTATTAACCCCATTTTATAGTTAAGGATAGCACTTAAAAAGTTAAATAATTTGCCCAAGCTTAGATAGCTAGTGGCTCAACCAAGATTGAAAATTTAGGTAGTCTGACTCCAGCACTAATTTGTTTGCTACCTTTCTTTTCTTCAGAAAGGTAGTTCCAATTGTTAATTTATTAAAGTTGATTTCTCTTTTTTTTTTGAGTTGGAGTCTTACTCTGTCCCCCAGACTGGAGTGCAGTGGCCGCTCACGGCCACCGCAGCCTCGACCTGCTGGGCTCTGGCGATCCTTCCGCCTCAGCCTTCCGAGTAGCCAGAATTACAGGCATGCGCTACCACGCCCGGCTGATTTTTTGATTTATTGTAGAGATGAGGTCTTGCTGCCTAGGCGGGTCTCGAACCCGTGGGCTCAGGCAATCCACTCACCTCAACCTCCCAAAGGCGCGGGGTTACAGGCTGAGCCACCGAGCCCGGCTTAAAGTTGATTTCTTATTTTATCAGGTGTGTGGTCAGGATTTCTTATTCTAAAGATCTTACAATGACCAATTGCTCAAAACATAAATTATAAATAGCTATATATTGAACTGAATTTGAGTCAGGTTTCTTAAATTCTTGAGTTTTAGTACCTTTTAATTGGTGACTTATATTCTTCATGCCGTTTATTACATTTACTGTCAGTTAATATTTAAAAAACATGACACTACATTTTTTAGTAATTCTTTACCGTTTCCTTTTTTGTTTTGTATTCCTAATTTGCAGATGTGTCCTGAGCTTTGTTGCATATCTGGGTACCAGGTTTGACCTCAAGAGATGGCTGCTGTACACTTTTTGCAACTGGTTTGATATCACATTTCAGCTCCAACTTTGCATCCTGAGAACACTTAATGTTTCTGCAGGTCCATTTTATACAACTTGAAAGACCTTAAAACTTTCTGGTTGCCACAAGCATATCTTTCTTTTCTGCTCATCCAATAAACAGCTGTGCCCTACTGTGATAGATTTTCCAAACAAAATACCTGGAGCAGCAGTTTAGCAAAATATGCCTTCAGTGGCACTCAACAAGTGGAGTTTCCCCAAGCACAGTTCTGTAAGAAGTGTGTGTGAGAGTGTGTGTATATGTGTGTATGTGTATTTTTTAAGTTATTATTTGTATTGTGCAAATTTTTTTTGATCTTGGGGATTCTGGCTGTGAATTTGATGCACGACAATTATGGTTAAAAACATTTGGTTGGTCTACAGAAGATCATTAATGTTTTGTGACCATATAAGTTGTAACAGTGGATTGTTTTTGTGTGTAGGTATTATTGTTAAATACAGGGACTGTTTCCAGGCACAGAATATGAATCATAAGTTAGGAGGGACATTAGATGTGATTATGATGATATAGCGATGGTCTGCGGTCCTAGATCTACAAATGTGTGGCGAGAAATTAGAACAAACTGGAGATGGGCCATTGACACATGGACTTTGCCTAGCTGTATTAGAAAAATACATTGACTCCAAGCCTTAAAATACTCACATGGAGTCGGCACTCACCTCATTCAAACAGTCAAAGAGCTCCCTGGACACTCAGCCTCTAAAGGGAAAAGGTCTCCCGTAGAGCAGGAGCATCAGGGTTCACTTGGGAGCATAACACAGGTGAGCACGGAGCTGGGCCTGGACCAGGCCCTGGCAGCACTGCTACTTGGGAGGAGCCACTTCACCTTTGTATCAGTTTTTAAAAATAGAATTTGGATCCTTTGGTCAGGTTCCCCCAAATTCTTTTGAGGTATCCATGTTCAACTGCTTGAGCTTTGTTTTGGCAACCCCCTGCCTGAAGTTGCTTATAGGCTGTTCTTCATCTTGTTTCCAAGACTGAGGAACAGAAAGTAGCCTCTGTTTTGAGGAGGTGGAAGTTAAGTATACATTTATTTTTTACTGTGACTTGTTCAGGACCACATTTTACAAAATGCCTTGTTTCCTTTATTGTTTCTGGAAAGGAAAGTACTATTAATATTGTTTTAGTTTGATTATAGAATAGTTTTTTTAATTAGGGCTTATTTTGAAAAATTTTGAGTTTTAATTCAAATGTATGCCAATACCTTCCAAAGTAAGGTAATAATTCAGAGACAGTTGTTCTGATCAGATGGCTTAGAGAAATTTCTGGAATATTCACATTTGAAGATTCCTTATTAATGAATGTCTTTGACTTAAATCTAACCAAAAACTACAACATTATTCTTTGTACATTTTCATTATATAGTGTTAACAAGCTTAGTTGCAAACAAATAAAATACTTAAGCTATTTGTTTACCTTGCCTTCTTAATACTGTGATCATGTTTATTAATACATGAGGTTGCCACAACCATTTCCCCAGTTGAATGTTAAATTGGAAATTTATGGACTTTTTAAAAAAGCCCAGCAGTGATTTTTTAAAATAATTAAATAATAATTTTGCTTTGCATGTGGAGGGTGGTTTGTTCCATCTCTTTATTTTTGGGGTAGTCACTTGTTCCAAAAAGAGGAACATAGCAGTGACTGTAATGGGAGCAACCTTGCTGTGGGTAGTCACACCAAAACAAGGAAGGGGCAGCTGTGGGGGCTGGACTGGGCATAAGGAATGATGCTTCACTGAACTCTCGATATAGATCAGTGTGATGTGCTCACTTACTATTTCAGGTGTCCGTCCCCATTCCTACTAAAATGGCTTCTTCCTGGGAAATTGAGTAAGTTTCTGTAAGGAAAATGATACCCTCTCATCTACCCTCTCACTATATCCAGTGTTGTTTGGCTGTTGTTTTATAATACAGTTGCCTTTGGGGCCATAGGGTAAGATCACACCACCTTGGCTGGGTTTTGGGATTTCCTCTAGATACTAGATGTGTTTGGTTAGTGTTTATAATCTAGAGAAAAGACAATTCCTAGGACAGAAAATTGGGACCTGCAAGGCAGATCTTAAACTGGCGAAGGAAAGAATCGCTAGACTTGATTTCTAAAGCATGAGTCTAAGGTCACTCACAGTAGGGAAATGTCTTTTTCCAATGGAAGTCACAGTCCAAGGAAGAAGTCAACTCGCAAAAGGGGCTGGGCACAATGACTCATGCCTATCATCCTAGCACTTTGGGAAGCCAAAGTGGGCAGATTGTTAGAGCCGATAAATTCGAGACCAGCTTGGGCAACAACAAAACCTGGTCTCTATAAAAAATGAGAAAATTAGTTGGGCATGGTGGTCTGTGCCTGTAGTCTCAGCTATTCAGGATGCTGAGGTAGGAGGATCATGCCTGAGTCTAGGAGGTTGAAGCTGCCATGAGCCATGATTGTCATGTAATTGTCATGATCATGCCACTACACTACAGCCTGGGCAACTGAGACCCTTAAAAAAAAAAAAACCTGTAGGCCGGGCTCAGTGGCTCAGCCTGTAATCCCAGCGCTTTGGGATTACAGCCGAGGTGGATGGATTGCCTGAACCCGCGGGTTTGAGACCCCCCTGGGCAGCTTGGCGAGACCTCATCTTTACAATAAATAAAAAATTAGCTGGGCGTGGTAGCGCACACCTGTAGTTCCAGCCACTTGGAAGGCTGAGGCGGAAGGATCGCCGGAGCCCAGCAGGTCGAGGCTGCGGTGGCCGGGAGTGGCCACTGCACTCCAGTCTGGGCGACAGAGTGAGACTCCAACTCAAAAAAACCTGTAAAGGTACGCCAGGACCTACGGTTTCAGGACAGCCATATCTAATGAACTAAAAAGTTTTTCTGGCTGGATGCAATGACTCACGCCTATAATCCCAGCACCTTGGGAGGAGAAGGTGAGAGGATTGCCTGAGCCCACAGGCTCAAGACCAGCCCGGGCAACTTGGCGAGACTTCATCTCTATAATAAATAAAAAAATTAGCTGGGCATCATGGCATGTGCCTATAGTTCCATCTACTTGGAAGGCTGAGGCAGAAGGATCACCTAGCCCAGCAGGTCAAGGCTGCAGTGGCCATGAGCGTGTAGCTGCACTCTAGCCTGGGCGACAAAATGAGACACCAACTCAATAAATAAAAGTTTTTCTTTCATTCCAGTTTTGTCTTAGTACAATCTGAGGCTAAAGGAATGAAAGGAGTAAGTATCCATGCCTGGCTCAGGAGTAAAGGGAGGATCAAAGCTCCTGAGGCATTGATAATTGTTGAGCACCTCCCAAGAGGAAAAACATCAAGGAAGAACAAGAATTTAGGCCAACCTTCCACACCTAGTGAATCTTCTGCCTACTAGAAAGGACGACTGGTTGGAGGATTGATACAATAAATAAAGGAATGGCTTTTGGATGTTTGTAGCACTGTAGTTTAGTCTCTGCCACCAGTTCCCTGTGTGAACTTTGCCAGATTACTAAACTAAGCTATGGTTTTTTTAATCTGTAAAATAAAGGTTAATAGTATGTACATCATTGGGATTTCTTTTCAAAGGCAAGAAATAATCCATGTAAAAGTTTAGCAAGGGTACCTGCATGATCAATGTTTATATACATAACCCTGAATTGTACCCCACGTCTTTATAATAAAAATTTTAAAAAGTTTAGTACAACGTAGGGCATAGACTTACACTTTAACATTTATAGCAGGTTTCTTCATCAGACCCAAACCTGAAGTAGTGATTCTCAGCTTTCCAGTATGAACGGCCCATTCTAACATCAAAAATTTTTATTTTTTTATTAGAATTTATACATGTGTTTTATTAAGGAAGCAATAAACGAATGACAGGAATTTGGGAATGCTTTTCAGTGTGTCTCTATCCACTATATATGTTGTATATGTTATTCACTACAGCAACGGTCAGCAAACTATGGCCTGTTTTTGTAAAGTTTTATGGAAACACTGTCCCACCTGTTCATTTGTGTCTGTGGTTGCTTTCACACTAGCTCCGGACTTGAGTATGTGCCACCAAGACCATAGCATGGGCCACAGAGATAAAAAGACTTACTCTCTGGCCCTTTACAGAAAAGTTTGCTGGCCCCTGCACTAGAGCATTAAAACATTTGAAAAAGAGCACACACACAAGGCAAGCGTACTTGATTTATAATCTTTAGTGCATCGTGAGTTGCGGACACATTCCCTCATTTGTCATTCCCAGGGGTGTTAAAACTTAAGTTGAGGTATGATTTTTTAAAAAAATCCTTTGCCTACATAAGTGAAAGCCAGTTGCCAAAGTGAATATCTTGCAGAAAAAGCTAATGCACAGCTTCTAGAGCAGTGATTTCTCAAGGATGGGGACAGGGAGCATTTAACAGAAAATAGCATGAGTTTGAAGATAGTTTGTAAAATATATTTTTTTTAAGTTTCAAAGTTTATTAGAGAAAAAAGGGAGAAAAGAAACGGAGGCATTGAGTTGGCGTGGGTGATAGAAACCATACGATTGCTCCACAATAAACCTGATATGCCTTCACAATTGATATGCTAAAGAGGGTGGAGTCTAGAAACTGCCACTCAGGAGACTGACATCTCTGGGCTTCTGATAGTAAGAGACAAGGAGAGGAGTGATCTTTTCCTGATCATATTGTCTTGCAGGAGAACTGCGAGGCATGTAAAATATTCTTTTTTGTTGTTTTGTTTTGTTTGAGTTGGGCCCTCACTCTATCACCCAGACTGGAGTGCAGTAACTCACTCCCGGCCACCGCAGCCTCGACCTGCTGGGCTCTGGCGATCCTTCCGCCTCAGCCTTCCAAGTAGCTGGAATTACAGGCATGCGCTACCACGCCCGGCTGATTTTTGGTTTATTGTAGAGATGAGGTCTCACTGCCCAGGCGGGTCTGGAACCCGTGGGCTCAGGCATTCCACTCACCTCAGCCTCCCAAAGGCACAGGATTACAGGCTGAGCCACCGAGCCCGGCTAAAAATATTATTTTTAAGGAACAGAGACTTCTCTGCTACTCTGGGGATCCTTTGTTGAAAACAGCTTCAGAGAGTGCTATAGTCTTCTAGAGCTACCATGAAGCTGGACCTTGGATAAGGTTGGACGCCTCCAAGAACAAAGGAGTGCATTTCAATAGTTGAAGTCTTCATGGGCTTCTGTTTTGTTTTTACTGATTGTTGTATCCAGTATCTCACCTCACATGCCAGGTTATCTGTGAGTTGGACAGTATATTTGAAAAATTGTTTGCAGGAATAAAGACAAGAATGAGAGTTTCTGGTTGTCTGTGATTTAATTCAGGTTTCTGAAGGCTGCAGGTTCCCTGAGTCACCCAGATTATATACAGCCGAGTGGAAGGTTCACTTGAGAACTGGTTTACTTTAGTTTCACCTTTATCTTGAAGATGTAATACTTTGGGATCCCAACTTAAGGTGTCTGGTGGGAGTTCCCACCTTTAACTAGCCTCAGGTTTTGTCTTGGCCGCTTCAGAACATGAGGCTTCTAAAAGACTTCCAAAAATTCAGCTCACACATCAAGGAGCTTCCTCCAGATTGGCAAATATTTTATTTTATTTTATTTTATTTTTTTCTGAGTTGGAGTCTTACTCTGTCGCCCAGACTGGAGTGCAGTGGCCGCTCCCGGCCACCGCAGCCTCGACCTACTGGGCTCCGGCGATCCTTCCGCCTCAGCCTTACAAGTAACTGGAACTACAATCTTTCATGTTAATGCGACATAAGTAGGAAATGACATGTTTGTATTGTCTTTGTGTGTTTCTCAATCATTCAGCAAGCATTACTGGGGTCTTCTGTGTCTTTATTTGTGGAGGACAGTTATTTTTGTCTTTGGGCTTTTTTAGAGACAGTCTCACTGTCACCCAGGCTGAAATTCAGTGGCATGATCATAGCTCACGGCGGCCGCAAACTCCTGGGTTCAAATGATCCACCCACCTCAGCTTCCCAAGTGGCTAAGACTACAGGTGTGCACTAACACACCCTGCTAATATTTAAATTTTTATAGAGATGGGATCTTACTCTCTTGCCCAGGCTGGTTTCAAACTTCTGGCCTCAAGCAGTCCTCCTGCCTCCTGCTGGGATTACAGATGTGAATCACTATGCCTAGCCAATACTTTATTTTTCCAATCTTGACAAGTTTTTTTTTAAGTAACCCTAGTCTATCTGTCTTACATTCCAAGTACCTGATTTAGAGTTAAATAAACAGTCGAATCTTGACCTCAGTCTAGCAAGTGATATAAGCAAGTAAGGTAAAAATTGCTAAGTTTTGTGTGAATGGTACATGTAGTGGACTGAGGAAGAGAAGATGTGGTTCTAAGTGGTAACAGAGATCAGGGAAGGCTTCACTGGAGGAAGTAGGGAAGCAAGGTTCAAAGGATGAATAGGCTCAGATAAGTGAAAGTAGGAATCCGGGCTTAAGTAAGCAAAGACTG